GATCTGTTCCTCAGGGGTCACATGGGCTTGGGAGGAGCCCCTGGCTCCTTTCTTTTACCAGTTCTGTCTCTGTGAAGATCAAAGGTCCTGTTAGGCCGTGGCTGGCTTCACTTGGAAGTGTGGAGGAAATGTTTCCTCTGTGCTGACCCTCCTTTTTGTAGATTGGACACTGGTTCAATTCCATCTGGTGGGGGCTCCATGGCCTCCCTGATCAAGAGGACAGGTGACTCCCCACAGTTACAGGACATTTTGAGGGATGCTCCATAGTCCCCTGGAGCTTAGTCGACCTTGGATGACAAGGAACAAAAACTGTCCTTAAAGTTCCTCTGACCAGATTAGTATGGGCCTCAAAGTGTGGCTGTTAAACATCCAAGAAAGTTAGTTTCACCAGTCTGGTACTTTTAATTATCATGTGCCATGTAGATAAAGCTTGGGCAAAAATCAAATGTTCTCAGATAAACCTTGACTAGACATGTATTTTGTTTTTTTAATTTGATACTAAGGAGAAGGAAAGGGAACTACTGTTTGTTGAGAACCTGAAATATGCTAATAATGGTCCTGGGCAGTTAACTTGGAGTCCCCAAGATCAGCAGTTCTCCATTGGATGCAGTTATTTTTAGCCTCATTTTACTGATGAGGAAAGTAAGGCACTAAACTGACTTTTCCCAGTTATTCTTTCTCTATTTCTTTTTCATTCACATTTTAAACTTTAAATGTTTTTGTTTCCAAATCAACTTTTCTCAAACTGGCATCCTGTGGTTACTGGTATGTTCAAAATCTGGTTTTCTTTGAATTGAAACCTTAAGCTAGCTTTGGATCTTTTTTATTTTTTTAAATTTGCATTTATGATTAGGCACTTGATAATTACTCATCTATAGTGACTCTTGGACTTAATCTTCTCTTCATAAGAGTTAAGGCTGTCAGCATTTTTATAACCAGTAGATATAAGAAAGCTATTTATTCTATATAAGCCTAGTTTTCCTCATTTATAAAGTACAAGACAATGAAAGGAGATTTTAGTAATAAGTTGAGCTATTTGGCAGAACTTGTGTGGCTTTATTGATGTGGAAATAATGCTTTCAATTCACATTATCAGAACAATTTCCTGTTAACTAATATGACATGTCCTCTTACAGCAAATAAGCGAACAATTTCCTGTAAATTGGCATGATGTCTTAGCTTCAATATTTTTTAAAAATTAATTAAATGTGTAGTGTGTGTGTGTGCACACTATGACTTATGCGTAGAGGTCAGAGGACATCTTGTGGGAGTCAGTTCTCTTCTTCTACCTCAAGAGTCCTGGGGATCAAACAGGTCATCAGGGTTGGTGGCAAGTATGTTTATCTGCTCAGCATCTCACTTTTAGCTTGGTTTTAGTATATAGTTTGTCTTTTGGGTTTTGTATGTTTTTATATAGATATCAAGGACAAATTCTTCAATTGAATACATTGGACAGACAGATTGTTCAATTGACTCATTCATATATATCCTTGAAGAACCATTTCAAACATTACATTCTCTGTGAAGTCTCACTGACCTTTCCTAGGTTGTAGTGTGCTTTGAGCCTAAGTCTCCTACACATCATTTCATTTGTATGTCTGCTTTCTATACTTCATGTCAGCCTATGGTTTCACAGTACCTAGCAAGATACTGATTATACAATTGCTTAATAAATGTTGAATGGCTGAATGTGTTAGCCTGTTTCAGACCCCATTGGCCTTGGATTGTTCTTCCATTCTTATAGGTGTATACTGAGTTCTAGTGAGATTACATTTTAATGTCTTGATCTAATAGTTTTAACTCCTCCAGCCTCAGTTTCTTCACCTGTAAAATGTGGGTAATAGTACTCATTTTTGTGAAATAAGATTGTTAATTAAAATGTTTAGTACAGTCCACAGGCATGTAGTGTGTGCTCTGTATTAGGGTTCTCTAGAGGAACAGAATGATATTGTATATTTATTATTTAATTATATAGTATTTGTCATTATATAATAATATTAATATTACAAAGGAGATTATATTGGTTTTTACAATAGGGGCTGGGAAATCTAACAATGGCTGTCTGCATACTGGAGAAGCTGACACTCTAGTAGCTGGGCACCCCATAAGCCTGGATCCTTCAGCAGTCTTGATCTTGTGGCAAAGGCCAGAGGACTCCTGGAAAGCTGCTGGTCTTCAGCCTGCTGGAAGCAGGCGAAGCTGGGTTCTGACGGCAGTGAAGGATGGCAGGGGCAGCAATAATGCAGTGGGTGCACTCACCAGCAAGAGGTGTGGGCAGGCAAGCAAGCAGCACAGTTTCTTCCTCAGATCTCTTTATACGGGGGTCTAGAGGAGGCCCTTCCCCACTCAGTTAATCCTTCCTGGAAATGCCCTCACAGACGTCCTAGGGCCATATCTCTTGGTAGATTCCAGATCTAGTCAAGTTGACAACCACGGTTAAACCATATGCTCAAAGTTGGAGAAGCATCTTGTTAAGTTTGTACCCTACATCTACGTTTCCCCTCACAGTCTCAGTCGTAAAAAATAAATGAACATGTACCCATGAAACCATGTTGTTTACGTGTTGTAAATATTTATTACCTTTATTTTCACTTTCTCCCAACTAGGTTAGAAGCCTGTTTCAGCCTTTGCCCCTGAAGTCCAAGTTCTTCAGCAAGATGCACAAAGCTTTTCTCTCTCAGTTCAGCTTCTTTTACGTGTTTCTTTTGGTTGCTTTCTTCTCAGCATTATTCCAAGTTTATGCACTTGGGAGGTTGGTGTTCAATAGGGATTTAAAGACAATGGCAGCTCTAGAATTGTCAAGGCCATTAGCTGAGAGGCCTACATACTTTTTGCTTGATTTCATTGTGCAGGACTTCACTTCAACTTTTTGCCTCGGTGAATTCACTCTTGACATTTTAGGGATGCAGCATAATTAAATTAGGTTTAGTTTGCTTTGTGGTAGAAAAGCCTCTGCTTTTGGAATACATGAAGGGGAGGCAGCCTTAGCATCCTATTTTTTTGCTTATGAAAGGCATATATGATCTTTATATAACTCCTGTATTGTAGCATGATTGGAAAGTGGTTGCTTTGGATCCTTCTGATATTTCAGCATTTTTTCATACTGCATATAAAGTTTCCATATAGAGCTTAGAATAAGCAGGAGCAACAAGGAAACAACAATAAAAAGACACAGGTGAAGGATTTCAAGTCCTGCACGGAAACCCCGATTAGGTTACAACTAATCAAAATAGGTGAAAGGTCGTATAATCTCATTCGTATTTAGGATTTGAAGCAGCATTGGGAAAGCTGTAAGACTGGGGCTGTAAACAAGGAATCAAACGTGTGCAGGGCATACCATCCAACGGTCCTAAAGGCCTTGGGCATCTCTCTGGCTCCGGAGCCTTTGGGGTGACAACGCCTGCAGGAGAGTCCAGGTGGCCGGTGGCCAGCAGGCGAGCGCGGACAGGGGGAGGGTTTCCAGGCTGACACTCAGCTGCTCCTCCGCCCCCGGCCGGCCCAGTTCAAGCAGCTGGCCGCGCCCGGGGAAGGAGTTTCCGGCGGACCCACCGCGGTGCCGCTTCCTGTCCCGCTCGCCGCGACGCCTCCCGTTGCTCTGCCTGGACAGCCTTCAACCTGGGAGCCCCTCGCGGTCCCCAGCCTCACCACCGGCCCCATGCAGTCCCGCCTCCTGTTCCTCCGGGTCCCTGGCGGCCACGGCGGCGCGGCATCGCGGCGCGTGCGGCTGCTCTTGCAGCAGGTGGTGCGGGGCAGGCCGTGCGACCGGCAGCCGGAGGTCAGACTGATGCACACCGGGTCGGCAGACTCAGGTAACCGGGGCGCCCAGCTATACTCGCTGCTGCCCCTGCTCCCCGCGGGCAGCGCGTGCGCCGCCGCCTCCTCTCCCTGCGCGTGGAAGGCGCGCTCACAGCGTGGGAGCCGAGAGATCCAGCTTCCAGCACCCTTCTAACCTCGCAGTTTATGGCCGTGTGGTGTGCGCTAAGCGCCTGCGCCCTCTGGGTAGCTGTGTGTAACCTGAGGGGTCTGAACTAGGGCCCCTGATGACTGGGAATACTGCTTTTTATTCTTCCAAATGGAGCTTTTACCCAAAGACTAGATAGAGTGCATGCAAAGGTCAGTGCAGCAGTCTGTGGAGCTGCTTGGGCTTGACCTTGATTTCTGAGTTCCAAGGGACTGGAAGCCAGTCTGTGTCCTGATCCAGCTAGGTCTGGATATAGGTACATTCTTGCTAGAGAACCTGTGGTTTATGGGGTTTTAACTGTATCCACCGATCTTTCCAAGTTTAACAGCACACTCTGAAAAGTTTCAAGCATTCTTAGAGCTGAAAGACATAGATTTAAAATCCTTCAATCTAGAGTTGGAGAGACTGAGTCCCAGAAAGGGGGCTGGGGGTAAGTGCCACAGCTAGCCACCACACTAAAATATAGTGCTTTCTAAGGTCACTGTTTCTGTCTCTACTGTACTGGCTTTAGGAATCTTTTTTTGTCCTTGTGCTGGGGTTTGAGTGTTGTGATGGTTAAGGGAAAAGATGCTTGTTGCTACTGCTCTTGATTATCAACATGATTCTAGGCAAGATTGTGTTCTTGTTGCTTAAAATAATGTAGATTTTTCACTATGAACTTGTTTCATTGTTCCTCTTGATGTCTCCCATCTACTAGTTTTTCTTCCCAAGAAAGAAGTGAATTTACCATTAATTAATTAATTAATTCAGAGAACAAATTGCTCCTCTCACAATGTTGCAATTCAAATTTTGTCTTTCTGCAGTTGTGACTTCTAGAGCATTTGTTTATTTTTCATTCTAGTCACTTTTGACATCTATGACAAATACAGAAAACAACTTAAAAGAAGGAAAGAATTCTTTTAGCTCACCATGGCCCACAGTCTGGCTCCATTGCTGTGAGCTTGATTTTAGACAGAAAGTCATGGAGGCAAGAGAGTTTGGTAGAGCAAAACCTTTCAAAGGCAGGTTCTGTTTTGTCCTACTAAGCCAGGTCTTGTTTCTACCTCTTCTATATATCAGTGTATTTCCTTTTTTTTTTTGGTCTTTTTGAGACAGGGACTCCCTGTAGCCCCAGCTCTCCTGGAACTCACTATGTAGACCAGGCTGGCCTTGAACTCACAGAGATCCACCTGCCTCTGCATCCCAAGTACTGGGATTAAAGGCGTGCGCCACCATGCCTGGCCTCTACAACTTCTAAATAATGTTGTCAAATTATGACTCCATCAATGATTGATCTATTGATTAGGCAGGTCAGAGCCCCCACAATCCAATCATATCTCAATGATTGGATCCACCATTTGGGGACCAAGTTGAGGTTTTGTTGGAGTACTTTGTCTCCAAACTATAATACATTCTTCTGTCCTAAAAGGCAGAGATCAAGGGCAGAAGTGTGGCATAATGTATAACGGGTTTTAGAGTTGAGCAGTTTTGGTTGGAATTCATATCTGTACACTGTGAGAGCTTGAGTGATTGGTTACTTTATCCCAGTTTTCTCAGCTGTAGAATAAGGATAAGAATTGTATCTGATACAGTTGTGAGGATTCAGCTCATTATTACATGGTACATATTAATACTCAATAAAATCAACTTCTTTTATTCTTATGTATGCTTTCAACTATATGAGAATTAGTCTGTTTGCATGGTTTTAGAAGAAATGAAACTACCTCCTTTTAGATTCAGAACTATCAAAACCATGAGTAAGCAGATGGGACATTTAATTGAAAAGAAGTTTAAAAAAAATGAAAATTGTTCTTTGTACTCAGATACTATAGTACATGCTAGTTATAAAAAACATTAGACACTCATGTGGGTATGGATTTGAAAAAGGTATATTATGTAGGTAGTGATAGATAATGCTGTCTTCAGACTTTGTGTTATGTCTAACGGATCAAAGTATAGGCTTTGTTTCAAATATGAGGCACAGACATTATGGACAACGTACCAACTTTCTGGATTGAGTGGTTAACTCTAGTACACCAGACCACAAGAAGTGCATTACATTAACCTGAATTGCCTTGCTATTGCAAAGATTGTAGCCCTGAAGGTATGGGGACTGTGGCTAAATGTATCTGTATCTGTGAATTCTCCAGAAAGCTGGGCTCAAGGAAGAGCAGTTATGAGTCAACTAAATTAAAAGGCCAGCTCTTCGCTACCTGACACATAAAGTTAAGGCATTCAAGGTTGGAGTGGTATATCTGGAACCGGAGGTCATATACAGACAAATGTAATGGATTAGTGTTTGTGCTGGAAAGATGCTCAGCTGCACTCCCACTGTGACCAGACTATCTCTTCTCATAAATTGTCATTGCTTCCTAGCCGTGTGAAAAAAGTGCAACAAAGTACTTGAATAACAGATTCAAGTTACATACTTTTCTTACTTCTTCTGAATGATATGCCTGTCTCTCTGGTTTCTATGTTCCTTTGGTGCCTGTCATACTTTGCACCTAACAAACATTCATTCAGTAGCTTACTAGGTTAAAGTTCATGGAGAGTGTTTAATTTATGTGAAAGGTTACAATTGCTTTGCTGACTTTCAAAATAAGACCTTTATGAAGCTGGTAAGAAGAGAGGTTATTTATGTTAAACTCAAAGCTCCTGCTTTTTATCCTTTTCTACTAGAGTATGTAATCTAATTTGTAAGTTCTTTATCTCTTTACACTTTAATTAGTAGTAGTAGTAGTATCCTTTGGTTTTAGATAGTTAATCCATTTTTTTTTTTTAATTTGAGACAGGGTCTCCCTGTTACCCAGCTGTCCGGTAATTCACTATATAGACTAGGCTGGCCTTGAACCCACAGAGATCTGCCCCTGCCTCTGCCTCTTAAATTGGGATTAAAGGCGTGCGCCACCACACCTTTGGTTTTAGAAACAAAGGGATGAATTAACAAGGAGGTTCTGTTTCACAGAGTTTTCAATATAGTTGGAGCCAACCAAGCTGGTTTAGTAGGATCCTGATGCTATAAAATTATTGTTAAGCAGATTCCCTCCTTTTTGTTTATGACTTCTGTGTATGGTGTAAATATGTTTATAGAAACACTCTAAAATATTTTTGTATAATCAATTTATGTTTATTGTAGAAAACTGAAAGTTAAAGACAAATCCTCTAAAACACAGTCCTCCCATCAGATTCATAACTGTCAGCTTTTAGGCATTGATCTTGTCAGATTATATCTATCTAACTATATACAGGTAAATATGTGTGTACTATACAGATAAATATTTGTGCAAATACATATTTATTTGAGAAATGGGATCATATATTTTATAATTTATTATATCTATGATTGAGAAAACATTAACATAATATCCTGTATAATCTAAATCAAGTATTAAGTTCAGATATTTATCCATATAATTTATTTTACCAGTTTCTCATTCTTGGATATTTAGGATACCTATTTTTTAAATATATAAAGACAGTGAAATAATTACCTAGCTATAGATTTTTTGTGACTTAAAGATTGTATCCTTTGGCCTCAGTCAAAATAGTAATGAATGACTTTGGGATGGGAAAATTCAGAACTCTGGTTTCAAGTGAGGAAAAACTAACATATTAGAGTTTAGTTTTGTCTCTGTATTTCCTAGGTGGACTCCATTAATTACTTTGACCCTTTTGACTCTGAGGATCTTCTGTGTTGTATATTAGAGAATTTAGCAGTAAGAGCCCAGGAGAGTTGTAACTTATAAATCATTGGGAAGATTAATATCAGGAGCACACAGACGTAAGATGGAAATTGTTGGTACCTTTTTTTTTTTTTTTAATGAGTTAGACTGGGGATAGAGCTCAGTGGTAGAGTGCTTGCCCAGCAGGTACAGAGTCCTAGACTCAATCTCCAGGACAAAAGCAGCAACAAAAACAAAAAGGATGCCACTAACCAATTGATTTTTAACCTGAGGTGATTCCCCTCTCCCTAGTGACATTTGGCAATATCTGGAAAGGAACCAGGGAGGAGGGGTGCCTCTGCACCAGTGGGTAGAGGCTGCTGGTGCTGCTAGCATTCTACAGTCTACAGGATAATGCCTCATAGCAAGAGTTTACCAGCTCAGAATGTTAGTAGTGCCAACCCCCCCCCAAAAGCTGCTGTTAAAAACTTCAGACAAATTAAGTTTAATAGAATTGGGAGGTCTAGAAGAGATTCTGGACCACAGAAGTGAGTTACAGAAGCAGCTTGGGTATAGCCCAGCATGTGCCTTATTTGAGCATGTTCTGATCGGTTGACAGCTGGTGATTGACTTGTAGCTAAGCTACTATGTCTGGATCTGAGTCATTTGCTGCAAAAGTCAAGTAGGTTGGGTTGTCATTGTGGTAGGATTCAAAGTACAGAGGTGTCCTCAAACCATGTTTACTTTTAACACACAACTGCATTGTAAGGACATGTCATAAAATTGAATGCCAAGTGTGGTAAAAGTATTGTGTTTGTTATCAGAATCCACCATCTGCAGTCAGTATGCATGCATGTTTTAGAAGGGCTGCCGCAGAGGCACCTGAAATATTTTATATACAGCAGCTTTGAGATTGGTGAAGATCTTGAAATATCTGGGCTGAATATCCATGTTTCTCAAGTGTTAGCAGATGATTCATTTGAAACTATTAGTTGTATCCACATTTTCAAGATCTAATAGAAATTAACAATGCAGAGCTGGAAAAATGGCTCAGCCTATAAAGGCACTTGCTATCAAACCTGATCTCCTGAGCTTCACGCCTGGAACCCATTGGGTGCAAACTGAGTCTTGCACTTTGTCCTCTGACCTTCACTCACTCGCCATTGCATGCATGCATGCACACACATGCACCTGCACACACACAAAT